GATAGATAGATAGATAGATAGATAGATAGATAGATAGATAGATAGATAGATAGGGAGGAAGGTAGGAGGAGGAAAGGCAGATTTGGCGTAGCTTATTCCATGAATAAATTCTACCCAGATGCCTTCAGGAAATTAATACTATATACAAATAATTCTATTTTAAAGAACTCTCCATTTAAAGAATTATAGAACTATATTATTGGTTTGCTAAATCACTGGGGGGTGGGGGTTGTGCATGGGGAGGAAACAAAAGCAACTGCCTTATATCAAGTTAGAGCTGCTTTTTCTGACTGACAGGAGAACACCAAATACTCCAACAGCTGTCATTTCTATCACCTGCTGCCTGGTCAGATGCCAGAAATTTAACCCAAGATCTGTATATAAAAAAGTACTTTGCTACTGAGCTGTTTTAGCAACAGAGCCAACAAAATGAAATGGCCAAGGTGGGTGATTCTAATGTTTAATAACAATAATCCAAAAACGAAGGCCCAGAGCAAAGAGGAAGAGAGTCATTTGTTAACAAGGTTCACAATCAATTTATCACGCATATCTCTGAGAGTTTAGCAGAAGGGTATTGAAAAAGTCAGAAATATGGGTAGAGTATTTGTACCTGTTTAAATCACTTGTTTACTTTCATGTTCGTCAATACTATTCCAGACTAAAGCTTACCTTAAAACAGCTTCATTTAGTCATTAAGATTTGTGGGAAATGTTATTTGTTTTCAATTTAAATTTAAAATTCATTTATATGATCAATTTGTCATTTTAAATATATGAATACAACACAAAGTGTTTGCCAGCCTATGAAGTAGGCCAGCTATGAAACCATATAGGCTTAAAATGACATTTATTTGAATGGCTATCGTAACAGAATCTCTCAAGTCACAATTCCCTCCTCCCTCCATTCCTTTATCTTCCCATGAGTTAGGAAGGGGCCTGTCTAAGATGTTCTGTCAAGTTAATTTGGGGGGATGGATTAGGGTCTGTCCTTCAAGGCCATTCCCTTTACCTCTACAATATAGCAATAGCACTTAGACAAGAGGTCTCCAAACTTGGCAACTTTAAGACTTGTGGACTTCAACTCCACAAAGCTGGCTGAGGAATTCTGGGAGTTGAAGTCCACAAGTCTTAAAGTTGCCAAGTTTGGGAACCCCTGACTTAGACTTATATACTGTTTCACAGTGCTTTACATCCCTCTCTAAGTGGTTTACAGAGTCAGCATATTGCCCCCAACAATCTGGGTCCTCATTTTATCAACCTTGGAAGGATGGAAGGTTGAGTCAACCCTGAGCCAGTGAGATTTGAACTGCTGAACTGCTGGCAATCAGCAGTCAGCAGAATTAGCATGCAATATTGCATTCTAACCCACTGCATCACCACAGCTTCCTTCTACATATGCTTGAAGTAAGATATATACTATATATTTCTAAATATATTTCTTCACAGAATAAAAAAAGTCACCATCAGACACCAATTACAAAATTATCCCCTAAATCCTAATTGTTTAATCATCTAATCCTTGTTTTATTTTGATGAATACAAAATGAACTGTTCATTCTACCACAAAAGTAGGGAAATTGTATGGGGAGGGAGTGGCTTTGGGCATATTTGGGATAAAGTAGACATGTTACAAAATGGCTGCAATAGGATGGTTGCTAATTAACAAATTGGCTGTCATTATAAACAATGAGGAAGGAAGACAAACTTTAACAAAAAAGAGAAGACAGACACTTCAGAAGTGCCCTTGAAAAGAAGAATACATTTTCCACTGAAAACTGGCAGGTGGGATTTCTCCTTCACAAAACACATAGTCCACTCAAATGTTGTCTATCATCCCAGGGGGGCGTCTGTGGAATTCAAAGATTGCAAATAAGGCAGGGCAAGTATGTTCTCATTATTCACCCTACAGTCAGTTACACTTGTTTCATTGCAAATTGTTAAATGATGTCAGGTGAAAATATTTAAATCATCATCAAGATAATGTGAAAAAATGAGGGCAATTTTTGGGATATTCATGGGTGTTCTCACAAACACCATAGCCACATTGTCCAGCATCTTTGTCAAGACATTAGGAATCCAGCTGCTAACTACAGCTAAGATGATGCTTAGTGTTGCAACTTGGATTTGCTCATCATTTGGGGAAAGAAAGGATAAAAGGAAAGAAAGAAAATCTTGTCACCCAATAAAATATCAGCAATTCTCTCAAACATCATCCAATTTCCTCCCACTAAAATGTCCAATATTCTGTTCCCTCTTTGAGCAGATAGATGGACTGGGGTGTGAACAGTGCTTAAGACTTAACAATTCTATACATCGTGTAAATGTTGGTTACTCCTTTTTAAGCTCCAGTTCTAAATTCTCCTGGCACAGTAATTATAATGAACATCCTAGGTGAATATGTGGCTTTTACCAAACATGAATCATTGTTAAATGCATGTATTACAAAGCATCGTGGATTTCATGGGCATTTACATTTTGACATAAAATTCTGGAATGTGAAAATGTCAGATTTTCTCATATGGCTGAGATATCTAATTAAGTTGGAAAATTGGCCATGCAAGATTAAGTCTCACTGAAGGCCATTTTTAATACATGGATGATTATTTTTCCAATGCTTTTAGCACAGTATCATCGCCTATTTGACCTGGGTCTCAATAGCTATATGGTAGAATCTGATTTGTTGTAGAACATCATTTAGAAATGGAGAAGTTGTGAATCCTTTAAAGATATATGTGGAATAAGATAATAGTGAAGAGAAGTTTATACTCGTATGACAGGCATGAAACAAGATTCAAATTAATGAATGATTACTTAAGACAGTGTCATTTACTTTTCTTTCTAAAAGCAAAAGCCCAAAGGTTTTTCACTGAAATTGAATATTTGTGAATACCTGATATATCAATAGATTTCAATCTTTACCATGACATATAATTAATCTGCTGATCTTCATTGCTACAAGGATTATAGAATCAAAAGTCATTGTAGGGCTAAAATGG